TATATAACCTTATAATTAGCAACAGACACTTCCTCCAGTTTGTGTGGCTCACTGTCACTATCATTCTTATCTTTTCTTAAAATGTACGGCCAAGTAGCATAGCACAAATACTGGGTCAGCGTATCCATGTGACATTAAAAAAAATGATCTATGATTTTTTGGAATTTTCTGGACTTAACATACATATACAGACTTCATTATAAACATGAAGTTTTATGTTGTAGGACCATTTGCCCCAATTTGTATTTAACGTTACCCTGGGCTCCCATATTTGTACAAGGGAACGTGATGTATGCAGTTAGGAACTAAAGAATACTCTCTACTAATATATTATATATACCTCAAGAGAATGTGATGAATAGATGAAGGTTCATCATTATGTGTAACAGGGTCTTTAAGCAACATTTGCATATGTAAATCAGGTTGATGCCCTTGATAGATACAAAGGCATCGTAAAATAAAGGATAACTTAGGTGCGATGATCCCATGAAACAAGTGGAACTGAAACAGCTAAAGGATGTAATAACTGTAAAGGGGATGGATAAAAATCAATTCAGCTTACTGCAACTGTGTAAGCATCCTAGCAATTGCTATTTGCAAGCAGTACAGCAGCAATAGCTGCAGAGGAGGTTGTATATTCTTCACATTTGCACATACACTGATTATTAAAATATGTATTGCCAAGAGATGGAAATGTGTTGAAGATCTCACCTCTTCGGACTGGTGGGTGTCATCTCCATAAAAATCCTGCAGAACATCTTGAACCTTTTTGGTACTATCTAAAAACAAAATAGCATTTGATTTCAACATGTGTGTTTCTGGTATAATTTGTTTGCAGTCTTCTTCTAGGAAACCTCAGGATGACAAGACACTGACGATGCAGGTCTATGCTGACGAAGGGAGAGGAGATATTTACTCACAATCAATGTACTTCTGCAGCTGGGTGAACTCCTCTGGGCTCAGGATTGCCCACTCCTTATTCTCCTCGCTCATTCTGGCTCTGCGACAGCCCTGCGGCAACACAGCAAAAACGCGGTGAGACGGATGATCCAAAGCAAGGAAGGGTAGAGAGAAATAGATCATGAGAGAGGGTAGAAGCTGCCTGTGGATGAATGGGGTGTGATTATAGCTCAAACCTTGGATTACATATTAGCTGATCTAACACATTCTCCCCGAGTTTCCCAGAGCCGCTGTCCTGCTGTAATAATGAGACAGAGACAGATTGAGTGGCAGAGTGACAGAAAAGAGACAGAGAGGGGGAGGCAAGAAGGTGATGGGGAAAGCAGATAAAGCAGGGAAACACACTGGATGTGGAAGGATGTGCTGCACCATTTGTACAGCCTGAGTTAAAGAAAAATGGGCAATAAATGATACAGGATAGAAGAAATTTCAAGTGAAATTACAGGACCAGGCACAGAAAGTAGATATAAGTAAGACCAATCTAGCAACCAGTAGTGGTATAATGCAGAAATATACAGAACTCAGAGGAGGGGATGGAACGACAGAGTAAAGATATGTCAGAACAAAAGATCAGAGCATGGAAAAAGCCTTGAACCGAGGCAGATTAATGACTTAAGAGTTCTCCATTTAGTGCAGAGCAGCATCAGCATCATAATTTGCTGCAAGAACTAGACACAAATCAAAAACCCTTAAAGGGCACTCTATTTCCATTTTAAAACATACATGTCAGAGCAGTTCACAGCCACAGTTGTAAAGCTGTTCATGTCTGCTGTAATCTGATCAACATGTATTAAGCAACAGAATGTCACATCTGCAATATCTACAAGCAGAAAAGAGGTTTCCCAAATATCAGTAATATACGTCTCTGCCAGCGGCGGCAGTAATTTGTCACAGCACATGCAGTAATGATACAGTGATCGAGTCACGATAATTCTATTCATCATCACACATGCCTGTCTCCTGTAATTATCATTTGGAAATATGCTTCAGTTATCTGATTTAAGATAAAAGGGTTATTTACTAATGCAAACTCTAAGCCCCCTTTTGACTCCAGTAGCTGGAATTCTACCTGTCAGCAGCATTAAAAGTAGATATTTTACTAGTTCTCAATATGGTACACATAACATATTTGTTCTAAAAATAACCCTGACCAATCAGAGGAAGCCTATATAAGTCTACAGCTGTACGCTGACCACACATTAGCATTTTAGTTTAAGTGTGAGCATAGCCAAAATTTGTTTAGGAATTTTGTGTAAAGTAGGGAAAAGTTTAAAGCCCTGACCATTTATTTTTTTGCTGTCTGGGTCTTTTTGAAAAAATATCCTTTTCTGAACTTCCTGTCCTGGAGACAAAATAGAAAAAGATCTCTAGAAAGTGAGGGGAATTTCCCTCCTAGACAACTCTCACCAAAAAATTTGATCCTATAAAGAAAAAGGTTAACACTCACCTCTTGTTCTGGTGACAACATTGCATTATGGATTTCCCATCACTTTCTGTCACTGTGACAAGGGTCATCAGGACAAAGAGAGAGGGCAAATTCAGGAGCACAGCAATAAAAATTGTACAGGGGTGTTCTAATTGTTCCCTATCTATCCAATAAAAACATTTTGGCTTTACAGACACTACGCCCCCCCTTTCTTCTCCCCCTTTCCCCTGCATCTTCTTTCTCTAGCCCAAACACCACTTCTAACCCTATAACTTTTCACCCCTATACTCCACAAACCCTATAACTTTGTCTTTTCCCCCACCGACCTTTCATCTCCCTAGACCACACATTGGAGGGAATTTATAAAAACTGGAGCAGACAATCTGGAGCAGCTGTGCACAGCAACCAATCAGCTTCTCTCTCCAGTTTGTTTCATTAAGATTTGAAAATGAAAGAGAGAGGCTGATTGGTTGCAGTGCACAGCTGCTCCAGATTTTGTTTGCTCAAGTTTTGATAAATTCCCTTCACTTTCTACTGTGCCGCACATGCTACACACCCCCCACCTTCATTCCCTTTTTGCCTCTACCTCCCCAATCTTAATGACCTCTTAAATTCCCCAACCTACACCCATCTATTTTAAGGACATACACACAAGCCAATGGAAAACACTACCTGCTCCCAGCTCCCTATGTCACACAGACACTACAGAACTTAAAAGTAAAAGAAGACAAAACGTGGCTCTGAAGCGGAGTCCCCAATTCTTTACTGGTGCTGTATTATGGTGGATACTGTGACGTTTGGGGAACTTAGCACATATGGTGAGTGCTTAAGGAACAGTCTTGAAGCCATTTTAAACATAAACAGGACAGTCTTTTATCTATTTCATCACATGCATTACATGCTGATGTCATTAGTACAATGAAGGGGCAAAATTATTGGAAACAAGTACTTATAAATATAAAACACAGCATACAGACTGCTAATGTTTCAGCAAGTAGACACCGTCTCACCGACCAAAGATTGTCACTCATGGGTAAATGGCTCTCTCAGCCTCTTTGGCTGTCTTCCCTGTGCCTCTAGCACACACAGCCACCTGGCTCTCCTCTGACTTCTGGGTGGAGTCTTACTGACTCCTGAACACCTCTGTTCCTCTTCCCAGCTGGAGCCCAGAACATTAGCCAGCACCCTTTCCATAAGTGCTGTGCACAGGTGTGCAATTAGGTGCTGGCCACTACTAAACAATGGACCCAGGAATGGAGATTTCATCCCTCCCAATTCTCTTAGAAATCTCCCATTTCCAGAATCCCGTGCCAAATCCTGGGAAGAACCACAAAGTCAGCTCTATCCCAGTACAGGAACTTGCCTCCTGGAACTGCTCAGCCCCTCTGGCTGAGAGTCCTGGGTGACTGCAACCCCCAGTTCTACCGTGGGATTGCCACACAGTACACCACAGTACATACATTTTTACTATTGCCTTTGCATCATATATTGAAATCACAGTCGAAAAAACAACTGTCATGTGTTATTCAGATCTCCATGTGCTTGCTTTTGTCAATATAAATGTTATGGGAAAAACATGCTTCATCTTTACTTTCCCCATTACACCCAAATGAATATAGTTACAGGAGTCACTGAACATAGAGACTGGGAGTTCTGACTTTACTCTGACTGGACTGAACCCAAAACTTTTTTGTTTTCGTATTCGATAAAGTAAGGGAAGGTTATAACCAGGGTCGGCCTTAGGCCATTAGGCACCCTGTGCGAGAAAGCTTTACAGCGCCCCTCAGTGACCACATCCCCAGTAACCACACCCATTTCCCCCAATATCCGCACCGTTTAAAGACTCCTATTTTGTTAAGCCGCAAACAACAATCTATTAAAAAGTATGATAAAAATAAAACTTATTCAAGTATTATTATACTTCTACAAGTTATTAAACTTGTAGGCACAATATAAGTATTCTTATCAAATAAAACAACAGATGGTAAACAATTAATGTCAAACTAAAATAGAGTCTATAAACAAAGTGTCAGGTTGTCATGCCGTTCCCTTTTTTCAAGTATATCTAGAAAAGTAAAAATAGAAAACAGAACACAAAACCCAGACTACGTTTAAATTATTGAACTACTATATGTCCAAATATACGAAAAATTTATTCCGGCACATAATAATTTGTTTGAGGCCGCCATCTTGGAGGCGGGGAGCATGACGTTACATGATGCCATGCATGCGTGGCGTCAGGTGACGTCACACGCCGATATAGTTGCCGCCATCTTGGTGTATATGTAGACGTGCGGTGTTATATGACGTCATGCGCTCTGCCTCCAGAACACGCCAATGGCTGAATCCAAAAAAGCAGAAATCCTCAATTTCTTTTTCTGCAGCCCCAGCACTCAATGAATGGAAAGCACTCAGTACAGAGGCTTCCCCCATTCATTCAGAAACTGCTGATCGTAAAATATTTACGATCAGCAGTTTCTGAATGGGGAGGAGCCTCTGTAGTGAGTGCTTCTCCCCATTGAGGAAATCTTGAATGATCAGGAAGTGATGTTAATCACAGCCTGTTCATTCATAACTGGGGACACATAGTACTACTAATAGTTTACAAACACTGAAGTGATCAGATCGCTCCAGTGTTTGTCCTTCTCACACGGAGGATCGGTAAGTATCATTGATATTTACCGATCCCCCGCTCTGCCACGCACAGAGCCGCTGTCATCCTGCAACTGACAGGATGACAGCGGCTCCTCTCCTCCACGCTCAGCCATCCTGACAGCTGCGGGCGCGGCTTCTCTTCCCCTCACCGCTCGGCCATCATGACAGCAGGCAGCGCTCACTCCTGCAGGGGGGGGGGGGCGGGCGAGGGAGCGCTGTCATGACGGATGGCCAGCGGTGAGGAGGAGAGAAGCCGCCCCGAGGACGAGCTGTGTCGGCCGCCTGTTGCCTTTGTTGCCATGGCGCACAGCTCGCACACCCCTAAGGCCGACCCTGGTTATAACCCCTATCACTTTTTCTGCCATCTGTGTCCCACTGGGAAGTTATTCCTCCAACCGTGATAGGAAATCCCGCCAAAGGGAGGAAAATCCCTGGTGATTAGCAGGATCACTAGAACTAGTGTCCCTATTGGAAGATTTCCCATCAATGCCTGTTCCGACAATTCCTGACAACCCAAAATATGGAATTGTCTTTCACTTTCAGTGATAATGGTCATCAGGACAAATAGAGAGGGTGAATCTCTCTAACAGGGACACAGACAGCAATAACAACCCGACAATCTCTCTACAATCTATACAAAACTAAAACAAAAATTAATTTTGGCTTCAGACAAATATGGCATGTCTAGCTATCATGTAGTAGGATTCACTAAAAGAGGTGATTTATACGGGGAAATCGTTTGGCTGCCCTTGACAGGGCAAATATATTATTTATACCAGGAAAAAGTGGTAACCATATGCACCTCAACTCACTACGGTGCGTTGTGGCATGCTGCAACAGATATAATTTGTCTACATTGACTGATCAGTTTATAGACAAATACAAATAAATAAAGTTTTTGTTTAACTGCACCAAAAATGCATGTGTAACTAGGTCTTCACTGCCATCACTGTTTGCTGGAAAATTTCTG